ACACTGGGGCCAGCATGTGGCATTGTGGTTAAAGGCGTTGGACTCCCATATGGCTAGCCACGGTTTGAGTCCCAGACCTGGCGACTTGCTTTCTCTCTTTCTCTCTCTCTCTCTCTCTCTCTGGTCAAATTTAAGTAAATAAAGTTAAATAAAATCTTAAAAAAAAAAAAAGTGACAGACACTAAAAATTACTAATAAAAGAATAATTTAGTGACTCATGTGACTGAAAGTCCTGTGGTCAACACCCTCTGCTTTTCACTGGGGCTTAGATTTTCAGAGGACCCTTGTACAGGTAGATCAAGAGGCCAAAACTCTCTCACCTGATTGGCTGCCGAGGCTTGATGTCAACTGGGGGTGGGGCGGGTACATCCCTGGGGAAGATGTCAATCCACATGTGAAGAGATCCCTGGGGGCACAGGACCAGGCTGGAAGGTATTGCTAGAGTTCCCCTGTGCCCTGACAGCCCTGTAGCCAGAGTTTGTTCCTTCCCCCCAGGTGGAGAAAAGAGCTGGGGTCAAGAGGGTAGCAATGATAATGAAAGTGGAACCTGATGATGGTGGGGGGGGGGTGGTTCCAGGGTGGAAGTTAGGCTGGGAGCTAAGGGATGAGGTCATAGAATTGTAAGGTTGAGATCAAAAGTAAGATTTGGTGCTCTGGAGGTTCAGATCTTAGGATCTGGGGTAGAAGTCGGGTTGGGGACCTCAGGTCTAGACCAGTAACACAAGGGGATCCTGCAGGGCCAGAATGGAGGTCCAGGACTAGAGTGGGGATACCCCAGACCAGGATCAGGAGCCAGAGTCACAACTGGGAGGGTAGTGCCCAGGTGGAAGTCTTGGGGAAAGGTTCTCTGGGGGCCCCAGGGCCCAGGATCACATGGGACTTCTGGGGTTGAGTGCTGAGCTCTCCCTTACCTGCAACAATCCGGGGCTGTGGGGATGGTAGAGGGGCCGAGTTTCCACGTGCTCAGGTACCAGCTGGATCCCAAGCTCAGGCATCTCCTGCCAACGCCGCAGCACAAGCAATGCCTGGGCTTCCTCAGAGGCCCCACTTGGCTCCTTGGGGACCCCACTACCTGAAACAGGAACTGTGAGCTTGGGTTTGTTCCACAGTTCCAACTCGCCCTTCCTCCTCTACCTTCCATAGAAGCTCTAAGCTGAGACAGCTGCTGTGTGGGATAAAGCCACCTGGAAGGGCACATCAGCCATGCACAAGTGGGAAGACTGCTCTAACAGCTTTCCTCATAGCCAATATTTGTGGGGACAGAGGGATTGGAGGGCACCAGCCTTTGGTCAGACCGTTTCAAAGATAGAGCACCAGGCATTTATGAGCCATGAGCTCAGTCCTACTGCCACATTCTGTTGTATGGGATGCTCTAGGGCTACCCTGTTCTGGGACCTTGGTTTAATAAGACCCTGAGGGGTCCCCTTTCTGCTCTTTGGAAATCTCATACTCACCAACAAAGACCATTTTCTCCCTGCCATCCAAAAACTTCATTCTTATTCAACCAAACTCACCCTCTCTGCTTGCTGAAGAAAGCGGGCTTTATCAGAGAGGCATGCCAGACAGGGTACCTGGGGGGTCCTGTACCTTGCTCTATCACCCTCTTTCTCCCTTTGGCCCGTCCAGCAGAGAAGGGCTGGTACCTGAAGGCAGGATCTCAGGCGGTGTCAGGAAGACTTTGCTGCCCACCTTGACAGCACCAGCTCGGTATTCAGGGGCAGGGAGGCCACAGCGCTGGCATAGCCCCGCCAGGATCTGTGAAGGCCGGAACGCATCACGCCAGGCATTGTACCCATCTCTGGTAGGCAGAAAAGGAAGATTCCTCAGCTGGGGCCAACGTGTGGACATAGTTGGCCCCAGGAAAAGAGATGAAGACCCTCAAAGACATGGGACCCAGGTTCATAATTCTGATAGGCTAATTTTTATTTATGGTATCAGTGAGAGGCAAAGATGTATGCCAGTCACTTCTGTGAAGGAGATACCATTAACTCCATTCCACAGACGAGGAAACAGGTTCCAAGCAGTAATGACTTACTAATTACAAGACCCCAACTCCCAAGCCTGAGCCTTGATGACTGGAAGAAGGGACCCTTCAATGAAATCATGGAA